TCTTTCCAATAGTGATGCAATAAGCATTTACAGAAAGTCCTTATTATGTACAACGAGCATACAGATAAGTAGAGAAGGTACGACACTTACACAAGGGCCGCTGTAAGGTGGATTCTCAGAAGTGGAATTGCCGGTGGAAGGCCGAGCACACGGAGAGGTTTGGTCGATATTCCCGAGCTGCCCCCTGAGAGGTTCTCCCGGCCTCGCTCCTGTAGGCGGTGTGTTCAGGGCCTTCCCCGCCACCTCCGCACGGCTGACTCTCTGCCTCGGAGGATTAATCCACTGATGAGCTACCTTGATTGGCCTGACACTGAAAACTGTCTCTATTTTTAGTCGAAAGAAACCCCTGTGGGTCAGGATACAGAGTAGTTCACAGCCTGATTCATTTTGGGTTTTGGAACATAAAGCTACTCCTGTTCATACTGTAAGGTTAAAAAAAAAAAGGCACTGTGTTTTGCCTTTTTTTTTTTTGGTTTTGATTTGTGTCTCTCTTGGGTTTTCCTAGAAAAGTATCTTCTTGAAAAATAAAGTTGCGTAGCTTACCAAAGAATGCCTGGTCGTTGTTTTGGTTCGATTGATTGATTTAGAATGAGTCCGATCTGTGGGTGAGGACCTGAGAATCACAGAGTGCTTGTTGTGTTTTCATTTTGGTTGAGAGGAAGGAGCTTGACGCTTAACTTGTTCACTGAGTTTGACGTGTGTCCTCAGTGGCACCCGGACGGTTAGACCGGTGATGTCCTGGCCGTCCCCCAGCTCGGCCGTCGCCTTCAGGGGCTCTGTACAGGAGCAAGGGCAGCCTCCTTAGCGTGGCTCTCAAACCCTGCGGTTTCGGGTCAGCTTCTGCTAGTTCCTGATCTGCTGCTGCTTGTCCGCAGACCTTCCTGCTCGAATCCGGTCTGACTGTTCCCCACCCCGTATCCGTCGTTTTCCCATCTTCCCACCTTTGCTCACATGGTGGCTTCTGCTTGGCGTGCCTTCACCTCTGATTTTTGCCTCCCCCAGTTTTTCAGCCTGTATTGCCCGGCTCAGACCCCGTGATCCTCACCAAGCCTCTCCAGGCCAGAATCGGTGCCCCGGGCAGCCCTATGTCCTCCTCCTCTAGGCTTCCTGATACCCAAGGGCTCGGCCTGGCTTGGTGGCCTTGGTGCCATCCCAGAGTTCTAGCCCAGGCTGGATGTGGCGTCGGCTTTCGTAGCTGGTTAGAGCGAATGCCCATCCAGGCAGCGTCTCACACGCTACCTCCTCCAAGTCTTCGGCAGCCCCAGCTGGGAGAAGGGCAGGGACTGACTGAGAACTGGCAAAGGCTGGGTGGCCGTTTCTGTTGGTGTCATATTTGTGATTACCCAGAGACATATTTAGAGAAATGTTTCGCATGACAGAGTACCAGGAAGAAGGGGCCGTTTAATTGAGTTTTGGACTGATCACTCTTTCCTGATGCTGCTTTCCTTGCATTTGGGTACCCCTCAAATTTTACGCACTGCAGTATTTTTCTAATGGAAAAACCAGTCTTGCAGATGACCACTTGCCTGGAAACAACAGAAAATGAGGACCATTGTATTTATTTTTTGCCAAATGTAATTACTCGTGTGAATAAGTCAGCCCATGAGAAATTACCTGTCAGGTTGATCATCACCTTGTTCGTGGAGAGGATATAAAGCTCGCTTGGTTATTGATTTTAAAAAGCGGACTTGGTTATTGATTAAAAGGAGCTGTGGCAGATACAAATACAAGAGATGTGGAACTGCCACGTATTCAAATATACATGTTCAATAAATAGAAGGAAAATAAAGCAGGACCGTTTCCTAAAATATCTGAATCATTGAGCCGGTGGGGATTTGCGGGGGGCTAAGTATGGACAAAAACTGCTCTAATTTCCTACCTTCCTGGATAAATATTTTTATATTCACGTAACCGGAAAATCGGTGGCTCCATGACTTAGTGAGAGGAATGCTTCCTGTGTTTCCGTAGATAAATTGGTTCATCTGTGGCCTGCGGCACGTGTCGTCTGAAGCCGAGATGCTGAAGACGGGACCGGTCGTTAGCAGAGACTCATTAGCATCTTTCTTCTTCTGCCCACAGCGGTTCTTTCTTCCCGTCACCTCAGGTCTTCCTAGGTCATCGCTTCATCGCTGTCTGCCAGGAAGGGAGAGGGTGGGGTGGCGAATGGGAGGGAGTCGGGGACCTGGGCCCTAGGGGCCGTAGCCGTCGGCCCACCACAGACCTTCCGACCTGCTCGCGGCTTTGGCTTCCTCATCCCTGAAGGGCGGAGCTGGATCCCACCATCCCTTCGGTCGGTCCCTGCTAGGCTGGCAGCATTGCGCCGCTAGGTCGGGTGGTTCAAGTCAGTCCCGAGCCTGCGTGCGCTGTTCCAAGCTAAGGCTCCGTGAGAGCCCTGAGGATGCGCTGAGCCTGACCGCAAACCCGCTGGGCACCGGGCTCTGTTCTGGGTGCGCTAGGGGGTGCTGCCAGCCCCTCCCGTCAGGCAGCCTGTGACCCCCAAGAAGGACACCTACAGCACGCGCCGTAACGAGGCACTGGGGCGGGGCATAGTGAGAGACGCAGATTTTACAGACGTCAGTGAAGGAGAAATGAATTCTGATTGGAAGGGCGAGGAATCAAAGAAGGCTTCAGCGAGAAGGTGGCACCTGAGCTGAGCCTTACTAGATGAGCAGAGTTTTTTTTTTTTTTTTTTTTTCCTTGCGTTATGCGGGCCTCTCACTGTTGTGGCCTCTCCCATTTGCGGAGCACAGGCTCCGGACGTGCAGGCCCAGCGGCCATGGCTCACGGGCCCAGCCGCTC